GCAGAATGGTTGTGAATAGACTGATCATTCCTGGCATCTGATTCTTAAAATTCTGTAGATTACCTAATCATGTAGACCATGATTAGAGTTATCCTCTCTTTCTAACCCGCTGTGTGATGTAGCCCCTGTTATCTGAAAGCCACGGTCTCAAATTTGCTCCTAAAACTGATGAGCCCTTTATAGAATTGATGGCTGAGAAATGTGCCTGCAAAACCTGCATTGAGATACACTCCAATAATAAAACAGAAGATGTCTTTATACAAGCCTTCTACATCTGTGTGTAGTGTTTTCTGAGCACTATTCTTTAAATTCCTCATTTTGCTACTTTGAAGCCAGTTTTGAGGTTTTAATGTTAGGTTTTGTGGTGATTGGACCAGAACAGTAAATGATATTTAGTAATAGTATTTAGCAGACACTTATTTTTAAGATGGTAAGCAAATATGAGAAGTAGCAGCACAGAAAACAAAAAAAAGGACTAGGAAAGGATGAAATAAAATCAATGAATTTATAATCTATTAATAGCCTATGTACAAAGGCTTTGATAGTATTTGAGATTATACCACTGTGCTATATATGTCCAAATTAGAGACTTGGATGTCAGACCTAAAAATTCAGAGCATTCAATATTTTAAGCTCTTTAAATTGATAATAATTTTATAATAATTAAGTGTGAATACTAATTTATCAATTCAAATGCTATCTTTTTTTCCTTTTTTGCCTGTCAGGAATTGAGATTTTGCTTTGCAGTTTTTGTCATTGAATTGCTATTCTTGACCCTATAAACGAATGAAAGATCCAAGTTTAAAAGGCAGTTAATGTACACAAACATTAATCAAAAATTGCTTGATTACAGTTTATTGTTTGAAAGAGCCGTAGATTAATGATTCTGTAGGATACACACTGATATGAAAAACTAAGCATACTTCTGGAAGGCTCTGATCCAATATTAATACATGATAGGGCATAACTGCAGCTTTTATTTTGTTTCACAGTGTCACAAGAATGGAAAAATAAGTAATGAACTTCATTTTCTCAGAACTTCAGTGAAGAATGCTGTGTTCCCATCATTATCTATTTGCATTGAGGCACCAAACCTTAGCTTCTTGATGAATTTTTATTCGTGAGCCCAGTTAAAGATACAATCCTGATTCTTATGTGCTTTTTCTCCAATGCTTTTGGGTAGCTGTTCCTATCCATACAGAAATATCTGTACCACTAAGTTAGGATTTACACCAGTAAATACCCACTCCTCAAAGTGCAATGGTCAGCAGAATGACAGGGATAGTTGAGGCTCATCTCACAGCTTTACCCCAAGTGAGGGCTTGGAAACAGCCTGTCTGCATAGCAGGAATAGTAAGTGGTCAGTGAGTTCTTTTACTGTCCCTTAGAGAACTTGCATCTGTACCTTCTGGCTTGTGTTAAATTAAGAAGTGACAGCACATATCATGAAATTACAGTTCTTTGGTTTAATCCTATTGTTTTACTGAAAAAGAGGGTTGACATTCTCCAATATCTGTAGGAATTTTACTTTTCTCCTGAATTATCATCAAGCACCAAGTATATTTAGGTCAGTGCATCAATATATGACACAATTAACCAAACATACTAGATAGTAAAACCTATAATTATTAAACATTGGGCTTTTTTTGATGGGGGTGCTGAGTGAGCTCTGCTTAGGTTAGTGTAAGTCTGTTCATCAAGTAACTTGTGTCAGGAATTGAAAATGAGATAGGAACAGATTTTCTGGGGTAAGTGCAAATCAAGTCAAAATACTACATAGATACAGGTTTTTAAAACAAGACAGTATGCTGAGACTGCGTTTGGGGTTGTTCTTAGTATCAAAAATTTAAAATCCAGTGGTGGTTTTGTTTGTTGGTTTTTATTTTTTATTCAATTGTATGTTAAAAAAGATCACCGTGTTCAATTTTGTGAACTTGCTGATCAAAAATTGGAAAATATGTAATAAATTTTTTGCATAAGGAATAAGATCATGGCACACACATTCTCATTGCAACAGATGTGAGGAAAAAATTACAGAAGAGGATTTTTATTAATTGTAGCTGTTGAAGTTGAAGTGGACCATGATCATAATCTGGACCTGACCACACAATAATTCCTTCATTAAATCTATCCTTTTAAAATTTATTTTGGGTACAAGTAGCCATGTCTTTTAGGAAGTGTTTTAGTCTTTATGCAAAATCTTCAAGTCACCCAGAACTGATGTATTACTGAAAAATATGTACCATATTTGCAGTGTAACTGTATCCTCTGATTCCAGAGAAAAGAGCTGTCATCTTTTCTATGTATTAGTTAATAATGATCAGACAACCTTTTAATGTTTTATGTGTGATCAGTTACGTTGAGTCTCTTTTGTTTCTCACTGCCAAGTTTATTTTTCAGTAATTTTCTAGCTGTTTCCTGATGTGGTTACAGTCTTTCAGATATTCACAAGAGTGTGACATGAGCACCAGATGTGTAATTCAGTTTATGGTCTTATGCTACTGTGTAGAGATACAGCAAACTTTGTGATTTTTGTTTCTCTGCCTGTATTTTTCCTGGTAAATTGAAGATTGTATCACGTCACTTCTACCATGATCTGTAAAGCCCTTTTTGAGATCATTGATTTCAGATTCCCCTGTCTTCTAAGCTTGCTCTGTATGTTTTCCAATGATGATACTGTATTCATGCTTTCAGGCATATGTTTATGTGGCTGATAACCTTTATTCAGCTCATCCTAAATATGTTCAGTTTTCCAAGCAGTCTTGGTCAGGCTTTTCTTTCAGATCATGGAAATATGGAACAAGTTTGGGATGAGAAAGATATCTGCAGGTCCCCTTCCTTCCCCAGCAAACATTCATTCTGTATAGAGCTAATTTGTCTGACACTGTGTCACGTGGCACATAATGAAATGTCTTACAGAAATCTCAGCATATTATTTCAAAGCACTTACCTTATCAAAAAGAGTCTCTATGTAATTGGAACAGATAGAAAATTCTTTTGACAGGACCAGTACTCAATAAAGCAATGTTGATTGACATTAACTGAGCTCCAGCTTTTAATTTATTGCTTATTGTATATCGGGATCAGTGTCAAACTGTATGGTCTTTAATTTTCCATAAAACTCTGTACAAATATTTGACAATATTTGATTTTTCAGCTCTTCTAGAATTCTGCCAAAAAGAGATCACACAAATAATTGAAGTGAAAATGAATGTCTGCCTGTTAGAGGAATTACAATGCACTAGCAGCAAACCAGCTGTGTGTAGTTAGGAGGAGTCATTTGGAAACATACCGAGTTGCCCATTTTGTTGATTTGTGCTGTTTTTAAGGATGTCACCAAAGATTAACCTAATGCATTCTGTTAGTGAAATAGGATCAAACTACTCAGTGGAAAAGAAATCCTTCGGTCTTTCTTCAACCTTTACTCTGGCAAAACTCTTGTCAACTTGAAAGTCAGTTCAATTAGTGTTACTAGGCCTGAGCAAGAGTGGCTCCTGTAGAATTCAGAGGGAATGACTTGTGTTTTCAGTGAGGCAAACCCAGCCCACTGGAAGTTTTACAGAACCTGTCCCTTTGTTTCAGAAAATAAATAAGAATATTCAGGCCTCGCTGTGTCTTTGCTTTGTGTGGTGTATTTGTGCAGACCTTATAACTGAGATGTGTTCCAAGTTAATTGTAAAAAATTTACCCACATTTCTTCTGTGTTAAATGATAGCTAAGTTTATAGTGGACTGTCAGATTTCTTTACTTAATTCAGCAACATGCAAGACATCTATCTTAACATCTGGTTTTTAATAACAGTTGACATCTGGGAGCTCTTTTTTATTCCAAGAATGGACTAGGAACAGTAGTGATACTGGCAGTGTATATTTTCAGGCTAAAATTCCTGTCCATTCCAATCATAATTAATTACCATTCATTTTATTTAGTTTTTAGATTTAATTAAGTGCCAGCAATATGTTACACCAGCTAACTTTCAAGGCTCCAAAACTATAGAATGTATTTTTTTTCGTGTTTCTAAAATATTAATGGGTGAATCTAGAATTATATGATTTTATTTGGTTTCGAAATGCTGAGTTCAATGAAAAAACACTGTGTTGTGCACCTCTGTGTCCTAGAAGCTGAGTATCACATCATTTGGCACAGTAGAGCTGTATATAGAGATAGCTCTGCACATACACATCTCTGTGTGTATAGATAAAGAATCATGGTACAACTGCAATCTTCAGTAAATGTATCCTGGGAAGAACATTTCACTCTTCTGATTTAGTTCATGCTTTTTATTTTGTTCTTATTAACTTCAAGTTTATAAAAAATGTGAAGAAAGACCTTCTGCTTTCAGCTTATCTGCCATAAAACAACCCCTTTTAAAAACAATTTCATGAAATTTATTGTTTGCAATTAATTTTATTCATTATTAAAACTCTAAATAAATGAGTAATGTTAAAGGTTCAAAAATGGAAAAAAGAAAAACTATCTAATAGTATTCAACAATGTGCAGTGTTTAACATTTCTTTAAAAGATAGAGTTAATTGATAGCGTGATGGAAAAGTGTGCCTTGCTAATGATAGATTTTTATTATTCAGGAGTTTTGTATCTTTTAACTGAACAGAATTTAAGACAGTTTGATTATACTAATTACTTTGCTTACTTACAAGGTTTGATCTTTGCTGTCAATGTTGTTTAGAATTGCGTGCAAATAAAAAATAGATAATCTTTTAATATTTAATCTTATAATCTACTTCCTACACACTGTTTTAACTAGGATGGAAAAATATGTACGTCACTGTTGTTGTTTTTTTGGTTGCTATAGATGCGGATTCTTGTATATGTAACACAAGCTTGTTCACTTGTTTTCACTGGCTTATGTTTAAAAAAAAAGAAGTCACGTTTTTAACAGCCAAGAAAATTGTATTTTGTGTGCACCAAAGTAACTAACCTTTCCTTCTTTCATTCCAATGCCAACACCTTCTCTGCATCTCCTAACATCTGGCACGCAGGATGATGAGGAGGGTATATGGGCATAGCCGTTCCTATAAACCAAAGTTCCAGTTTTGTTTTGAGGGGTGAGAAACTCTCTTTTCTATCTTTTTTCAATTTTTATGTTTTATTTTAAACTGTGTGGAGCTGTGTGTTTTTTGACAAGTGCGTTTGTGAACCCGCACGTGTGTTTGTGAAGATGTTTTCTCATATGCAATGAAAAATGAGAAACTGTGTCTAATGGTTTGGTGGTCTAGTGGTTTAGTTTTTTACTAACTTACTGTGGCTAAAGGTGTAAGTAGGTACAAAGCTTTAAAAGAAGTCTATTTGTATCTGTTTGTATCTTTCTAAACAATATTCTTTTTTCAGTAGGTAGGTAAGAATTTCTTTAAACTAGTATTAATCTGCTATATCATCTCAACAATCCCTGTAAGAACACTGTAATATTATTGCAGAACGTGTATGATACTTAAGAAAGTTTGCCACAGATTAAGCATGGAATCTCACTGGAATAGAATTTATAATATGCATGGAAAAATGAGAATACTTCTTAAGCTGAAATATTTTAATGAAATTTTAAAATAAGCAGCAGATTCTTAGCAAGGAAAGTATAATCTCTCTATGCAATTCATATTCTGTGCCTGAAACAGTATGATGGAATAACAACCATGCAATAGTTTGGTTGTGATAGTTAAGACTACAAAGTGCAGCTCCTTTTGTTTGTCTCTCAGTTATGAGTAAATACTGTATTGTCATCGTGAGTCACTTATTGATGGATGCATATCCAGTTCTTTGGTGCTTGCCTTTGAAGCTGGAGGGAATTTGCAGCTCACGATCGCCGTGGTCTCAACGTTGCTGAGACCATCAGGCTCGGTGGTTTTCTCCTAGAAAATGTTGCTCACTGCTTCTCACAGGAACAGTTTTATTTGCTGCAATGGGCCTGTTCAAAGGAGCAAAATCTACTCTTATAAGTAAAGGTTATTGTATTATTAAAGCCTCCATACTTTATATTGCTTTGAACCCTGTCACCCCAAGTCAAAGACTTGTATGATTTGCTTCCAGCTGTGTTATAAGCCATGTTGTAAGTCCATTGTTCTATTTGATATGAATAAAATCTTCAAAATATTTTTTGTTCTTATATGTTTAGTTTTCAGAATAGTTGTGAAATGCAAAATTAGTGCAATCCATAATGAATAATTTGAATTTCCTTTTTAAAAAAATGGAAAAATTTAAAATTCCATTACAGAGAACTTTAAGATTCAGTAATTTTAAAATAAAATAATGGACACTATGATACCATTAACATTTAAAAGAAAGCAACCTTGGTTTATCAGAGTATAATTATAAATCTTTCTGGATTTTATGCTTTCTGATTCAGTCCTAAACGGCGTGCTGGTACCGGTTGTATGTGTAGGTAACCTCTGTGTTTATGGACACACATGTTGCATGTGGTAACAGTAGGAAAGGATGTGACTCATATTCTAAATTTTTTCTAGTTTCTTTCTTCTTTCCTGAAAATAAACAGCCTGAGAAAGAATTTGGAGGTGTTCTTTTACACACAAAATGTAAAAATTTAAGAACAGACATTCCTCTTTCATGCTTTTGTGCGAATGCCAACATAGTTTATCTTCTATTGTCATATATCAGACTTTTGACAAATAACTTGTTTGCTGTTTCTTTTCAGGGGGAGGATCTCAGCAAAGGTAGTTTAACAAATAGCTGGTGGCAGGTACAGCCAGTCCTGCAGACTGAACTCATAAGTAGACCTGTCCTCGTGGGTAGAATAGCCATGACTCTGGTGGAACTGCTATCCTAAGGTGGAAGTTCATGTCACAGACCTCCTTCCCTATGGGAAAAAAAATAATTTAGGGCCCTGACCTATAGACCTTTCTGAAAACACGTGGGAATACTAAATTTCCTCATGTTCACTGTTAAGAGCTGTAAGTATATCTTACAAAGGATATACTTAGAAAAAATAATGGATAGATGTCTCTATTGTGCACAGGCTTGAGAGCAAACAGATTGATTTGGCTGTGTGAGCACAGGAGTTTGCATTCTCCGCTCTCTTTAAAAAGTTGTAAGTTAAAAATCATGGAAGTCCCTTTAAAGTTGACTGCTTCAGTGTTCAAATGCTTCACAGGAGTGACATGAAATGATGGTGGAGATGTAGAGTGGCAGGGCAAGGATGTGTTGTGAGGTTATAGAGAGCTAGTTACTCATTAAGAATCAGACAAGGTGTTCAGGAAAATCTCACTGGCCAGCCAATTTAGGAGCAAATGTATCTGCATGGCTTGAGTGTTGTTAGAAACAGGATCTCTCGCTCTCCTCACACTTACAGCGGGGAAAAAAAAGAAAGAAAATCAGAGGTGATGATAAGTTTTAAGAATAAAGCCTATACAGCACTCTGTCATGAGTAACTGAAGCCATGTGACCTTCAGCAAATATGTTTTGTGACACAGCTGGCAGTGCAGGTAGAACACAAGTGCTTGTTTTCCCTTTCCAGTTCCTAGCACTGAAGTGCAGCAGACACTGGAAAACCCATTGGGACTTTGCCACAAGCTGTCTGTGTGTGCCTGTAAGAGAAATCAACACAAAACCTGTTTGGACAGTATTTGTTTGTACAGTACTGTAGACTTTGTTCTTTGTCAGGTGTGAAGTAAATTGGATGTTTGAAAAGATGCTTAGGAGTGTTTGGGCAAATTTATTGTCTGTTATATCCTTAGAACAGGGTTACCTTCACACCTGAAACAAAGAACGACTGAAGCTTGTGCCTGGCAGCAAATGATGTCTGAAAATGGAATCATAAGGCTAGTCTGCTAAATTGGGATTTAGGAGCAGAGCATAAAGTCAGTAATTTTAAAATTTTGCCTCGTAAGACACTCTGGAGGCATCAGTGTCATTCAGTAAAAAACTCCTTCAAATCAGAAATTTCTACAGCATGGGCAAAAGAATATTGCTCAGGCAAATATTCACTGTTCACTTCTAAGTATTGGATGTGTTTTATACGCTTCCGGGAGGAGGAGGCTGTTTTAAAACAAATGTAGTGCCTGGCTTTGTCTTTGCTGAGATGTGGAAACAGTTCTCTTTCAAGATGGCCTTACTAATAGCAGTATAAAGCACACAAAATTTGGCCATGTTGCTATATAAGGATATGTTAAAAGACATTAACTATTAGCTATTGTTCTGCTTTTTGTTTTCATTGTTTCAAGTCTTGATTTTTGTACATAATTTGTATTTTTTTTATGTTTGGATGTTCTGTTTAGCCTGTGTTGGAAAAAACATGCTAACTTTGAAATGAGCCTCAGTAGCATGGAAAAATAAGGAGCATGTCTGTTTGCAGTGTTCATTTTAATTTTCTCATAGAGTGTATGAATACTAGCTCTATGCTTAATTAGCTAAATGGGTGTTGCTGCATTGACTGGAGCCCCAGGGCATTTTGGATTTGTGAATTTTTAGGCATGATTGTTTTACTGCAACTTAGTTTTTACTAAACAAAAGGAGGAACCTCCCAAGGAATGTTTGTTTTGCAAACCATGGACAGATTTGTGACTAGTCTTCATTCCTGTTAAAATACTTTTACTCTTAAGAGAAGACATTTATGGATTTTATTTTGATTGTGAAATTTTATATTAGTTAAAAAGTTACTTTTCTTGTTAAAGATGTCATTACTACTGCTAGTATTTTGAGGTATTAATTGCCCACTACAGAAGACAGAGAGTTTTCATTAAAAGTAGGATTTTGTTTAGCTGTGTGTATTTGGTTATTTTTTACTGATTACACACTGGAAATATGTGAATCACTTGACAAGTATAAAACTCTTTCTGTGTTTCCTATGAAATGGATGATCAATAAAGATCATCAGCATTGTTCCTTTGAAAAAGAAAAAAAAGAGTCTTTGTTACAACACTGCTATGGCCAAATTACATGAGAGTCATGGGCAGAAGTTGAAATCCTGGGCCCACTGAAGTCAGTGAAAGCCCTGTTATTTATTTCAGTCCTGTTCAGTTTTCACTGAGAGCAGTTTCTTTCTTCTGATTGTTCATATTCATAGTAGAAAAACATCTGTTCATATAGACCTATGTATTCTCAAAACTATTTGTATGAACTAGATGTCTTTTAGTTTACCCTGCCAGGCATCTCATGTCAGGGCATACATCTCATGTCATACCTGTCATATATGAGACACCAAACCATGCTCGTGTCTGGCTGTAGAACTGCATTGGATAAATTCAGCAGTTTTTTTTGTCTGTCACTTGTATTTTAGCTGTGAGAGTCAGGCCATTCTGCCTGAACTTAGGCCTCAGATTCTTCACTGCAGCTGCAGGAGGTGTTAAAAAAAATTGGAAAATGTAGCTGATGAACTGAACTTCAAAGCTTTTGATGTAGTCAGTTTGAAGACAACAATCACAGGGCCTAAAATCATCAGTCATGCTCTTTTATAATCTTCCATAGTAAAAATAAATAACATACCAGAGCAATTTTTAACACCCTAGAAAGTTAGAAAAGGCAGAATGTGTTTTCACAGCTAATCTTAGTTTCAAAATTATATAGTTGCTCTGAGTATTTAATCACTGATTTAACAGCTAAGCTGAAGTCTTGAAAAAATAGTGAAAATCTGCTCTAAAGATATGAATTCAGTGATGAATTGCATTGTGTTAGATTGCACTTCTACAAATATTTGTGGGAATATGCGAAATTGCTATTATTTTATTTGACTTGAAAACAGTTTCAAAGAGTTGCCTGCACAGCATTCTGCTTGGAAGGTTTGGATTTGCTTGGAAGCAGAAGTGCCACCTGACCTAATCAAAGGTCATATGACCTGAACTTTTGAATGTAAGGTTTTACAATTGAATACTAAAATATGAAAACATCAATTTTGAATAAATGAAATTTATATGAATTGCTTTGGAAAGCTTATGAAAACATACAGGAGGAAATGTTCATTAGAGTACAGAAAATATGTACCTAATTAAAATTTTCTAGTATCTATTTTTAATATTCTCTTAGTTACAATGCTATAATGCCACTTCCAAAAAAAAAAAAAAAAAAGAAAAAAATTAAGAAAACCTCCCTGTGCTGACCTACT